ATTACTAAAAAAAAAGGGTTTGAAATAATAGATTTTCTCACAAAAGAAGGGAACTTGAAAAAAAAAGGAAAAAAAAGCGGGACCAAAGCCAAGACGCGAACCACGGAACTCCGATATCACGCCCGACCGACATACCACCTGAGCTATAACGACCGTTAGTGATTTGTCGAAATTTACCTTCTTATATTGTAGCAGTTTTTTTATTGCTTGAAAACATGGACAAAAGGACATTTTCTAAAAATAAATCCAAGCGTTCGTCGCTAAAATCGTTGGAGCCGTATAATTTTCTCATCTGGTTCGGTTATATAAATATTTAAATATATAAAAATTATAAATTAAAATGAAAAGATAAATATACATTAATATCAATAAAATAAAATAAATACAAAATAATATTATATTATTATTGTTATTATTATTATTATAAGTTGTGGTTCGGTGAAGCTGCAACCTAATGGACCATGATCTGAAATTTTTATGAAAATAAGTGGCTGACGTCAATTATTATTATTCTTATTATTTTTTCATTACTGCCTTTTTCAACCTCACAAGATATTTGTAACTGCAAAAAAGAAAACTACGTATAAGTAAGTAAATCAGTAATATAGTGTTATGTATGATTCAGACTAAATTATTTGTCCAAGCTTTCCTATTATGGATTCGATCCAACCGAATAAGTGGTTTCCAGTTTCTAAATTATCGCATGCAGTTGGTTAAAATAATTAAAAAGATGTACAATACTCTAAAGTCCTTGTCCTGTAACGAGAGGAGTTCCACAAGGATCCATACTAGGCCCTCTTTTATTTATACTGTATATAGCAGATATTAGTACAGCCATTTAGAACTGTAAATATCATATGTATGCAGACGATTTGCAGGTATATCTTTCCTTTGTACCAAGTCAAACTAACTGGGCTGTTAATAACTTAAATAGAGATCTAACGAAAATCGCCCAGTGGTCAGAAGCCAACACTCTTGTACTCAATCCAGCAAAATCAAAATACATAGTATTGGGATCAAAGCGACAGATAAATCGAATAGTTGCAAATAATCCTGATCTGTGTGTCCTCGGGGAGAAGATAAATCGTGTGACTGAAGCTAAGAATCTGGGATTGCTTATGGATGACGCGCTTCGCTTTGAGAGACACGTGATCGAGATCGCACGTAATTGCTTTTACAGACTAAAAGTATTATACCGAATACGTGACTTTTTGAGTGAAGATCTGCGCATTAAGCTTTGCAACTCCCTTGTACTCTCCAGGCTAAACTATGCCGATACGGTATATGGACCAAGGCTACTTTCGAAAACTGACCGAATAATTCAGAGGATCCAAAATGCTTGTGCCAGGTATATACACCACATTCCCCCCACGAACGCACGTCAGTCCCTATTTAAATAAATCAAAGTTATTAAGAATGTCCCAATTAAGAGCACTACATTTAGCAACACTAATGTTCGGTGTCTTTCAAAACAAAAAAGCCCGGGTATCTATTAGAAAAACTAAAATGGCGCAAGGACGGTAATTTTAAGGACATTCGAACAAAATCAAATGTCCTTTCAATACCAAAACACACAACGGCAGCATTCTGTGGTAGTTTCCGATATGCAGCTACTAAATGCTGGAACAACTTGCCCCCACCTATCCGCCAACTAAATACCATCAGCCTTTTCAAGGTAAAAGTAAAAGAATATTTTTGTCACGTTAACATTTAGGGCGGATAAAATAGCTGCATTATATTTTTCATAGTATAATATAAATATCTATATTGTTTTATTGTAAATTCTCATTATATTATTTATTATATACATTTATATATACCTACTGCATAAATAAAGTTCCCATCCTTTTTCATTACCATTATTTTATTTTATTATTTTGATAACATCTTTCTCGAAAATAGAAATAAAGCGAACATACTATTCCTCGCAGGCGAGTCCAACCTCAATGGGCATTGCTGAAAACCAACGCTACCGCAATCCTGCGATAGCATTATGTTGAGTCAGTGCCCTTTTCAGCATCACATCACTCATGCAATTGGATCATTTTATGACTGTTTTTGTTATTTACTTTTATCTTTGATAATTTTATGTATTATTTTATTTTCTGTATCAAAACTGTATGAGTGTAAGTTACTGAATAAATGCATGTCTATGTCTAAATAAAGGTTCCTAAAAATAGACGTAGATAAAGAAATTGCATAAAAAATTACTCAAATAAAAATGCAATAAACTTGTTAATTTTATAGGTACTTAGTAATATTAAATAATGTTTTTTGGGAATTTATGTAAAACATAAAGGTTATATTATGTTCTAACTACGTTCACGCTTGCGCATATAAAACCGCGGAATTTCACTAGTTTTATTATCAAAATAATATTTGACAACCCTACCCTAAGTTTGCCTTGATTTTATCAACTTATTTATTTGTGTATATTTTGTATTTATTTTATTTTATTGATATTTATGTATATTTATCTTTTCATTTTAATTTAAAGTTATATATTTATAAAAACCAACCAGATGAGAAAACTATACAGATACCCCAACAATAATAATATATTTTCCACAACTATCACACAACGCCATCTAGTCCCAAGCTAAGCAGAGCTTGTGTTATGGGTACTAGAAAACTGATAAACATACTTATATATTTCTAAATACATAAATATTATAGATAAATTACACCCAAACACAGAACAAATGATCGTGCTCATGACACAAACATTTTTCCTGGGTGGGAATCGAACCCACGACCTGCGGCATAGCAGTCAGGGTCACTAACCACTAGACCAACAGGCCTGACGATAAAAAGTCTCTAGCTCGAGAGGAGAGGAGCCGTGGTAGCTCAGATGGTTAGCGCTTGCTAAAATTTTCACAGTGTGCGAGCAAACCGGGTTCGATCCCCCGCCGACACCAATAATATTGTAATTGCAATTTTAAGTGTTGATTTACCACGTGCTCAGTGGTGAAGGAAAACATTGTGAGGAAACCTGCATGTCTGAGAAATAAGAAAAAAAATATTTCGAAGACATGCAAAGTTCGCCAACACGCAGTGGGGCAGCGCGGTGGATAATTCCTTTCCTAGGACCCTTTCACAAATAGAATAGAAATAAAAAAATAATAAATCCAAACTTCATTTAAAACCAAAATATAATTGTAAAGTAGTGAGGTATTATAGTAAAAGATATTCCTTTAATCCAACTTGTCCATGTTTCCCAAAACAATTTTTAATTAAGCTTTATATTATAATGCGGATTTTTATATTTAAAATTTTAATAATAAAGCATTTCGTACGTCTCAGCCGAGGCGCAAATATTTTTCGGCCGCAAATTTATAAGACCGATTTGTTATTCAAACATAAACATGGTTTTTTAATTAAATCTACCAATCATAAAACGACACGCATTTTTATTGAACACTTCCTATTCAATTCACAAAGTACCTATTATATATTTGTTTATATAAAAAAGTATATTTAAGTACAATCATAAAACTAAATGGAAACACAAAGTAGGAAAATGCATTGAGTTATAAAACACATAAATCAATGGGCAAATGTAAAAATGCTGGAGGCAGGCAACCCTATCGCATGTTTACGTACCGCACGGCTGTAAGATTTATTTCTAAGATACGGCCGAGTTACAATATACCGTGACGTAAGCGCATCGGTTGGTAGGTACTCAAATAATATTATGTTTGCGGCGAAATACGGACGCGGCGACCAGCGACGCGGCCACCTCGTACGAACGCATACAGCGTAATGCCGCCCGCACTCTGCGCACGCCCCTTTATCATAGAAGTCACACAATTTTCGGAATTATTTCAATTAAAAGAGAAAAAACGAACTTAAAAATTTAAATAAAACGTGGAGAATATGAATTTTTTAATTATCTATCCATTAGTGTTATCCTCAAATGATTAGAGCGTTGCGTTTAGCAACAGATGCATGTAATCAAGAATTTTAGTCATTTTTTAAAAGTTGATTTTAAATGTATTTATAGCACATAAAAATAAATTAGAACGTGGAATGCGATGATAAGATATCGAACATTAATAATGTACTTTTAGATGTAGTTTATTTTTCATAGCTAATGAGATAATAGAGTCTGAAAAACGCACTTTCGCAACATCTTGGTCAGGGATTCACCTTAACGTAATAAGATCTCCATGCGCGTTCAAGTGGAGAATCACTTGGTTGAACGAGTTTTCATACATTTGTGTTTTATGTCGGTTCCAGTGGTTAATTCGTTCAAGGCCATAGCAATACTTGTTACGTGTGGGGTTCGAACCCGCAATCCGCAATACAATGCTATGCTATTTCTAATGTATTGTTTAGTTACTACGTTATTATCATTAAAATAAAATTAAATTATCATTAAAAATAGCACCCATGGTTTCTTGCTGGTTCATTTCAGGAAAAGGTTTTTCCAAAATAATGCGGAAAGCATAGATTTTCAATTAGTATTATATTACGTGAAAGGTAATATGGTCATCCGGTTAATATGGCCACTTTTTTTTTGACTCAAAAACTACAGCCTTGTTTGCATAGATGGTTTCATTATGGGATAGCTCTTCAACGGTCAACCAAATAATAAAGGGGCGATGCTTTGTCGACGCCATTTTGACAGTTGACATTTTAGTAAATATTTTAGTCGATTGTGGGATGGTGTAGTGTACTCGTAGTTAGTTCTTAAGTTGATATTTCGAAGTATTCCTAACTATTGCCAAAGCTTGTTTACTATTATTTTCTTTGTGTTTTGTCTCTGTCCTTCTCGTAGTTTTAGTTTTATAGTGCGGCAAACCTTCAGGTGACCATATTAGGTACCCTCATGTACCTTACTTGTAGTCTAGCTTGAATAAAAAATATTATTTACTATTCTATCCTAATATATGTATGTTACACGATGCAAACTGGCTGTTAATACTGCCACTTATCATTGAAGTTATTAGTAGTAAAAGATCCCTTCCACTTGCTAAGGGTTCCCTCTTGCCTTGACATCAGTAACTTTTGTCCCAACAGCATAACGCAGTTCCGATCACTATGAACACTATGCCTAGGATTGAACCTGCGAAAGAATATTATTTTTTAATTTTTTATTGAAAACCTTATTCAAACAGATGGCAGTTATATATATATATATATATATATATATATATATATCAGTTCTAAAATTAAATGAATATTGTTGTCGATCCAAACTACAATCCAAAAAATGTACATTATAATAAATATAACTGCAGTAAACACTTAACCGTAGCAAAAGTTAACAAGTTATTATTTATTAAATTTGTTAAACACAAATTAAATACCTATAGATTATCGAGAGGAAGATCAAAGTCGTTTAGCGAGCTAAGGAGAGAGCTATGCTCGGGGTTTCTCTGCATGTTAAACTTAGAAATGTTACTGCTACTTGTGATATTCGTAATAGAACCAGAACAACCGACATAGCCTAACTAGTAGAGCTTAGTAATAGTAGTAAGATTAGTAAGCTGAAGTAACAATCGGTCGGCCATATAGCTCAAAGAACCGACAACCGATGGGGAAGAAAGTTTGTCGAGTGGCATCCTCGTAAGTTGGACCCTTGGAGTGACGACCTGGTAAGACATGCAGAGGAAGTCGGTGGATGCGTTCTTTGTTGGAGGTTGTACTTTGGGGGAGGCTTATCTTTAGTAATGTACATATGAAGGGCTGTAATGATGATGTTGATGACACAAATTGCATTTATTCTGGCGATCTTTAATTCTTTCTTTTATAAATCTTATCGCACTATTAAAATAGTATTTTCTTCTATGCTTACTTACAGGTGAACTGGGGGAGAACGCCTCAAGGTGATAAGACCGCCTTTGTACTTTTTCTGCAATAAAGATTGAGCAAAGAAATAAAATTACCATAGTCCAAGGGTTCCTCGGCACCAATAGCCGAGCCTGTGATTGCAGTGAAGGCGAAGGCTAAACTGTTTGAAGCTGGCACAGCCAGCGACAGGGGCGCGCGTTGTACAGCCATCAGGTATACTAGGGACCCGCATTGGTTCACCAGAAAAGGCACCACGTACTAAAATCATAAGAAATACGTCACCACACTCACAAATTATAAACTTTCTGCGTAGGAGTTAGTCGTGTGTGTCGTCATCATCATCACACTTAGCTATTTGGTAGTTGGGTTCCGGTCAGAAGAGAGGTGATAGGTATAATTATACGCTGTGAGGCCATCTTAGTCCTCAAAGGTGACTACGCATCTGTATAGCTTTTTATAGAATAAGAGTTACAAACGAGCAAACAGTCCACCTGATGGTAACCAGATTTCCATTTATCCTCGAATAAGAGTCAAAACGCAGATGCGCAGTCACCTCTGAGGATCAAGATAGAGTGTCATTACCAGCAAAAATCGTCTCTACACTCACCAAACGAAACACATCAGCATTGACATGCAATTTTACGGCTGGTATACTGTGAGAGCGTATAGTCCTTCCTCGGTCGAGCCGAACCCTGTGTACCACAATACAGTTGCAGCGTGGCTCTACCAGGTATAACAATAGTTTACATGGTTTCCTGTCCATGAGATGAAAAGTATTTTTCCCCAATAATTAAGGTACACTCAGTTAAAAAAAAAACGAAAACTATCTCGCACGTCACGTTTTTCACGTTACGAAAAGTATTTTTTTATTTACCAAGAAATGCCTATAAAACAATTTAAAAAAATTAAAATGAGATGCATTAGCTTTTTTGTATTTATTCGTATCTGTGTCTCTTATTATAGACCAGCAGTTGTCACCTAACATAGCTTCGTCCCAGTATCCTCGATAATTTTGCTCAAAAAATTTAAGATCCTGGTGAAAATGCTCTCCGTGTATATCGCTGACGTGCCCAAGGTTCTCAGGGAAGAAATTGAGGTGGGAGTGAAGGAAATGAATTTTCAGACGTATTAGCACCTAGGTATTCGTTGAAAATTATGAATCTGCAACTAACTCACGGTAATTTTCATTTTTTTTTGCCCGAGAACCAGTCGTAATGAATTCCAAGCGGACCTTTCAGTATCCGAAAGACTGTTTTCAAATAATATAGGTAAAATAAAGACAATTTTTTTGTAAAATATATTTAATTAATCAAACCGTTGTTATCTATGCACTTTTAGTTCATTGATCCCTTTACTAAAAAACTATGGGGGGCAGGAATCAATCAACTTTTTGAAGGCGGTTTGGACAACCGCATCGGAGTTGATTTTTTTTTCCTTGTAAGAAGTTGTCCAAATTCCATAAAAAATGGTAATCGTTGGAGCAAATTCCGGTGAGTACGGTGGATGTCGCAGACACTCCAATTGTAGCTCATCTAACTTAGTGGTTGTTTGTTGTGCAGTGTGTGGTCTTGCGATGTCGTGAAGCAGCAGTGGCCTAAAGCGATTGACCAATCTTGGTTGTTTAGCAGCTAGTTCTTCCTTCATGGCTTGCAGTTGCTGACAATAGATATCTGCCGTAATCGTTTGGCTAGATTTTAGAAAGCTGTAGTGAACGACACCGGCGCTAGTCCACCAAACACTCACAAGTAACTTTTTCTGAGTCAATTTTCGTTTAGGGCAGGATTTGGCTGGGTATCCAGGGTTCAGTCATTGCGACAAGCGCTTCCGATTATCGTACAGTCCGATTATCGTAGAGTATCTGCTTTTCATCACAAGTAATAATTCAATTTAAAATCCCTTCATTTTTGTGTCGGTTGAACAAAGTAAACCAGCAGTCAATTCGATTCACTCAATTCGTGAGGTACCCATCGTTCATGTTTTTTTTACTTTCCCGATTTGCTTCAAGTGGATTAATACAGTTTTATCACTTACCCCGAAGCCTGCAGCTATCTATTAAGTGCTTTGTGATGGATCCGCTTCCACAATAGCCTTTAATTCTTCATTTTCCACTTTCGTTGGTTCTGAAGGTCAAAATTTCCAGAACGAAAACGTTAAAACCAAAAACGTACCGTGCTTTCCTTTGCGACACCATCATTAATCCTTCGAGCTGTTTCTGCAGCACTGGTGCCACGTCAGAACTCGTACTCGTAAATATACCGATATTTCATCTTTTTCATTTTGCGGCAATAAGCGACGACAAAGAAAAAAATAATGAGGAAAAACAAATGATCTACTGTTTTCAAAACTCAAATGTACCATTGACTTATATATTACTAGCGTAAAATGTACCAGCTAAATGAATTTATAATTTCGAATTTGGAATTCTTAACCAAAGAGGAGATATTTCAGATCAAAGCGACGACAAAACGCTAATTTCATATGTAAGGACCCAATATGTCATCTTTGAACATTTTTTTGATTTGCGGTCCGATAAAAACACCCTTGTTTCAGTTTCGCTTCAGAAACACAAGGAAAAGTTGAGCATAAATTCTTAAAGGTTACACTAGTTTTGTCTAAAGCCTTCATAAAGTTTTTACCAAACCTTTATATGAAGCGGTGGTAAAACAATTTTTGTGGAGATCCCAGTTTCCCAGTTGTCCCAGTTTCAGATCCATTTATGCTTTATATTCAGTTTACCAGGAACATATTGTTCTCTAACTAACCAGTCTGTTTTTATAACGATCTTGTTTGGATTTCGAATACTACAAACATAAAAAACAACAATATTTTGTATAATCGTCTTAAAAGCTCAAAAGCAAACCAACTACTTTCAAATCACCACAATCCAATTGCGATTTTTGTGTTCAATAATTGTTGACACAGTTTCATTCGTTTCTTTGGTATTTACTGCGTGACTTATCGGAATAAACGGCTTCTCGTTACCATTACGTGGAAAAACTGCATTTAAACTAGACTTCGATGAATCAACAAACAACCGCCATTCTTCTGGTTTATAAGGTTGCTGCATTTCTGCGAAAAGTATAACTACTCGTATATCATAAAAGTAACAACATTCGTTTTCCTTTTTAAGATATGTTGAAAAACATTCACATCTCTTTGTCAGCATGACACAATTCACCCGAACTTTGACTTTGAATTGGAACTTCTTTAAATTCCGTGTTAGTCATTAATGCTTCGCTGCAACAACCAGGAGATTCTGGAACTTACTGCTTATCTGAACTTTAGACGGGTTTAGTAACCGAAGGAACATTTGCATAGGTATATAATTTTATCTTTGTTCTTATGGTTAAAACCAAATGTGTTTGCAAGGCAAAATTAACAATCATTTTCGTGGTTGGATGGTTAGCTAACTACCTCCACATCATTGGCATATTAAAATCAAAGATCTGTTTTCACCTGCGGCCCAAGAGCTTAGCGTTCTTCTATATCTTTCACAAAATATGTGGAGAGCCTACGTTTTGTCCTCGTGAGAAACCGGTATTTTAAAATAATTAAAATATGCTTCCGTGATTCCGTTATGGGATATAATATTATATAGATATTTTTTCATATGATAAGAGTGACAAGCGAGCACACAGTCCACCTGATGATAAGTGGTTGCTGTGGCCAATAGACATCTATATCTATTCTTATTTTTTTTTTTAATTATCCGAAATTGAATGTGATTTATGGGCAACAACGTTTTTGCCTACCGATCGACCCTTACGAACGTCTGCGTTGACACTCAAGTCAGTTAAAATAATGCATTATTACGCATTTTGAATTTAAAAGATATAAAGAACAGAATGTTTTTTTTTTGTTGATTTTTCTTAATTGATCTTCCTTAATTTCAATTTTTATTCTGAATCTTCTCTGCAAATGTGGGATGTCTTTTTCAAAGTGGGTGATAACACCCCCTTGTTGGCTTTTAGACCAAGAGGGGGTGTTAAGGGGCCCAGAAAAAAATGGGGGCCGTTGACGTGGTTTAGGGGGACGATTGATGATTTGTAATTTCATTTAGAAACTTATTTTAAAATTTACTAAAATTAAAACCTAAATAATAAATACTCCATATCGAATAATTAGTTTATATTTCTGCACTGTATGATGGTATATAAACTAAAAATACTTAAAATAGATTTCGTAGGATAGCCCGTACGCCGTACGCAATCAAGTTGTAACAAGTTTTTGTTAAATAACGCTACTGGTGCAATCCGGTAGCAATTGGCTGGTTCGTCGATACTTGTTCTAACTTGCTCAGCACGATTGAGCGTCGAAAGAGATAAACGAGTTTGTGCGTGTTTGTCTTATTCCTGTCGGTGCGTGCTGTATTTAAATACTATATAAAAGCTCGCCATAATTTTAATGTTTTCATTAGTGGTTTCGCGCGAAATCTTATACAAGTATTTAAGTTCAACATTTTATTTACATATTTGTAAAAACAAAGCCATGTCGGAAGCAAAATATAGTTATTGCCGTCTCTTCTTTTCACTAGCAGAATAAGTATATTAATCCTCGGCGTGCCTGGTGGAAAAAAGTTACATGGCGTGCCTGGTGGGTCTGTGAGATCTAAATTTTAAATATTTTTTTCTCCTACAAATTGATATCAATGTAGTATATTTTTTGATTTCATAATAAAATTAAACATGTTTTTTAGGATTTCAAATAAAATACGTGTTCAAATTAATAATATTTTAAAAGAATTTTTATTTAAACTTTTACCTCGTTTTTTAACGTATAATTAATCATCTTATTTTCATAAACATGCAAAATCAACTAAAACGAAAGAAATCACAATCAGACTTTGGGGATCATAAGGCACATAAGGTTATCTTATATTCTAATTTAGATGAGATTCTATCAATGAGATACCCAAATCTTTGATAAAATTTCTGCGATTGTTTTTGATATCAGGAAAGTTCAGCATTTGAATAATTTTTGCATTTATACCTGCAGAGTTCAGCAACCAGAAAAACAGAGTGAGCGGCCATCTTCTGGAGTTTCTTGATACATCATAAGATCTAATAAGCTTGTCAACGTTGTCAACACCACTTTTAGTTTTGTTATAGAATGTAATAACTGCTGGTTTTTGCTTCTCACCTAATTGCAGGTCGATTTCCACATCATGATGGAGAAATGACAGCAAGAACACTTTTTTTCTAGGTTTTGGGACGTATGATACTAAAGTCATATCTTTTTGAAATCCGAACTATGATGAA